AGCTTGTGGCCCAGAGCAGGCTGGCTGGGGGCTCGGCAAGGTGAGCTGCATCCTGGGTTCAGGCTGTCCTGCACCCGGTGCTTCTTTATCATCTTCTACTTAGGGGCTGTCTTAGCTGTCCCTCTGCTCTCGGCTGCCATGCTGGTTTATTGTGACTCCTTGGAGCTGGGCTGCTATCCATGTGGACAAGTTTACCCTGCAGAGGGGGTGAAGATGGGCCTTAGCCTGCAGTCTGACCACCTCATGTTGGTGTGATCAGAGTGGGAAGGGGAGGAGCAGGTGCAGAGTCTGGCCCCAGAGGGACAGGCCTGGTGAGGAGTGTGCACACAGAAAGCATGTCTAAAATGAGAACATGAACGGTCTCTTGGGAGAGGTAAAGGCTTTGATATTTAGTAGAGTGAAGGATTTGTAGCTGTGAGGAGTGTTTCTAAGGCAGGGATGCTGGAGTCTGCTCTCCACCTGGTGGTGAAGGAGGACAAGGAGAACTCAAATTGCAAGGGTTCTGTGTGGAGCATGTGCCTGGCCGCACATGGCAGCCCTGTGAGACTTGTGTCCTCACCTTGGAGTTCACATGGGATCTCATGGGAAGACCCATGTCCTAAGCTGGGGGAGGTGAAGGAAGGTGTCCCTTGGTGCCTACTTCCCTCCATTTTCTGGGTGTCCCACTTGTGCACCCCATGGAAGATGACAGTGGGAGGGGGCACTGGTAATGGTGGTGACTGTGAAGAATTTTGGTTCAGATGGGTTATTTTCCTCCAAACTATTTAAGTAGCTCCTTGGACGAGGCCTGAGAGATTTGTGCATCTGATTTGTTGCCAGTCTTGGCTCCCTGCTTAGGAAGCTGCTGTTACCCCTGCACTTGGGAACAGTTCCTGATGTTCCCTCCTTTGAAGGAACAGGATGGGGCCTGGAAAAGAAGTGATNCAGGTCACTGGTTGCTTCATCGACCAGATGTGCACCCGCTCTGAGCTCAGACTGGCTTTATTTTATTTTATTTACTGTGGCATATGCTTTGGACATGCCCTTGTGGAGTCTAGCGTATGTAGGCATTGGTGGGGCTCCTCACTGCACTCTGCACTCTAGGGTCGGTGTCCCACTCTCTGCCACTTTTCCCCAGCAGCCTGATGTCAACAGAGAGTGTGAGTTGCACTGGGGCACGTCTTTTTTAGGGGAGGGGGTCACAAAGTGGGGCCAGGCTCTGCCTTCTGCTCTGACTCAAGCACTTACGAAGGTGAACAGCAGGTTCAAGCCCCTCTGTGAGCCCATCAGCTTCAGACAGCAGAGCACACTGAGCTTGTTTGGTCTCTGCCCACTCCCTCAACTCCTGCTGTTTCTGAAGCACGTGCTAGACATCATTTAGTTTCACTCGTCAGTATTTCAATATGTATATGTGTATCTGAGAGATATGGACTTTTGAACTGTTTAAAAAATTCTGATTATTAAAAATCTCAAGCCTAAGAAAAATGGGGAGAATTATAGAACATCCATAAAGCTATACTTCTGCTGGACCGTTTCACAGTAGACCACAGACACTAGAACACTTTACCCCTCAGCACTTTACACGTCCTCACAATGATGTTTTCCCCCTAAACCACAGTATGTACAGACTCTTGAACACTACCACACAAGACCATTTACCACACTTAGATATTAAAGTCACATATACCTTGAGCAGTTTGTTTGAATCAGGATCCTGGCGATGGCTAGCATGGTTGATTGCTGGCTGTCTCTAAAAATCTCTTCATCTGTAGGTTTTCTCTGTGTCTCTNTTTCCGAGGGCTGATTCGAGCACCTCCAGGCTCAGCAGACCCAGGAAGCTGAACTCACAGCCAGGAGCACACCTCCCTCCAGAAGCAGCTTAAGACAAACAGATGCTGCCCAAGCCAGAGTGCCTGTGGGCTGTGTGTGCGCAGGCAGGACCTGGAAGGTGTGTGGGAAGGGACCGAGGCCACCTACAGCAGGTGGGGAGCGTGTAGGTTGGGGGCTTCTGTACATGGCTAGCTGTGTGCTGGGCAAGACCCTGCATGGGGTGTCTGTGGGCCTGTACATTCTATACCACAGGAAGATTACGGGAACGGTCCAGGAGGGAGGGCAATAAACACTCTCAGCCCCTCTGGTGGAAACAAAAGGCTCTTAAATCATGGTGACTCTTGACCCACTGAGGCAGCTTTAGTGGCTGAACCTGCTGTGTCTGGCCTGAGCCGTCACCACCCAGGACAACGGCCCTGGTGAGAAGAGAATGCCTCACCTCAGTATCCGAGGAAGCTCAGGGCTCTTGTAGATGTACTTATGCCTGTAGCCAAGGTCTGAGTGAAAGGGGATAAACTGAACTTTGAAATCTTGGAAGCTTCGAGATGGCGCAGCGATGTTGTAGAGCTGGGGAGGGAGAAATGGGGTCAGCACCCAGAGATGGTAGCCCTGTGGGTGACCTGCTTGGTGGCCTCCCCTTCAACATAGGCCAGTCAGTGGCTGCTGCCTCTGCAAAGCAGCCCACGCCTCCCTCAAACAGCACTGCTGCCCTGCAGTTTGCAATGGCTGGGGCTGGGCTGCTGAAGAACCAGGCCCAGGCTCAGCTCCTCGGCCTGCTATTCAAGACCCTCTGTCCCCATACCTGTCTCTTAGAGCCTCACTTCCTCAGGTGGCGGCAAGGTGGATGAACCAGTACTACAGACAGAACCAGCTGCTATGGGATGGTGCGGTGGCCTGAGAGCCTGGAGCAGCCCCGATGGCTCACTCAGCCCTGGGGGCTGGGGTGGGTCATGTGCCTCAGACTTTACAGTGTGCCTTGGTCAAGGCCAGTCAACAGGCTGGCTCAAGATCTGTCCTGCCTCAGCCCTTTCATCATCCTATCCCCAGGGCCAGGCTGTGTGCTCAGACCTGCTGATGGGAAGGGACATAGCCCTGGAGGACCCACCTGTACCTCAGGCCAATTCTGAGGTAGAAGTAGCCCAGGCATCGCTCCCTCTAGGCTGACCCTGCCCCTTGCCATCACCATAGCCAGGCACTGCTGTCTCCTATCCCACACTAACCTACAAATCTAATCCTGCTTCCTGGTTCAAGAGCAAATGCGGAGGCCCCACAACAGCATGGTACTCCTCTGACATTGGTCCAATCTCAAAGGCAAAAGAACAAACGAGAAGTTCTGTGTCAACGCTACTAACTGGGACTTCTGTGTTGGGGCCAGGGGACCCTCATCATCGAGGGGTCCTACCCTCCAGCCAGTAACTGGACAGCCCTCCCAGCTAAGTTCCCTGTAGTCAAGTATCTGTCAGGCCAGGACCCCTGCACAGGGACTCAGAGAAGACATCTGCTTATTTACATTTTCCTCTTGTGGACGGCATTAGATGTTTGGCCCCCACCCTGACACTGGCAGCAGCAACCCCTCCTCCACTTCTGCATATGCCTAGCCTGGCCTGACGTGAGCCTACTGGATGCCTGCCCTCATGAGGGGCTACACGGACACCTACCTTTCTGCCAAGCTGAAAGGGCACGACCGGGTCGTCCTCGGCGTGTAAGATGAGCAGGGAGCAGGAGATGTGCTTCATGCTGCGGGGAAGAGACAGGACTAGACCAAGACCGCAGGCTGGGGTTTCCTAGTACCCGGGGCCTGCCCTTGGCAGGGAACTGAGTTTAGGGAGTGTTTTACCATGATGATTTACAACTCAAATTTGCTAGGCTTTTTACTAAAGAATTAATGTTGATTTCTCAGATGTTTGTATCAATAACTATTCTAGGTGATAGGTGTCAATCAAATCTAGAGATCAATTCATTCACCAAGCCTGGCCCCTGTATATTTTCTGAAAATTGAAAATGATTATTTTTGCCAGTAGACATATTCATTAAAAGTAACAAAACAGTTACAACTGAGTAATTTAGGTGAGCCAAGAAACTTACCGCAAATGAATGTTACTAGGAATCTGTTGGTAAAAAAGTCTACACCCTATAATTTATCTTTGGTATAAATAACATTTAAGGTAACTCCTAAATGTTTACAAGTAAATTAACATTTTCTATTATTCTATTCTACTATTTCTATTCACTAAATCCAAACCTTTCAGCAAACCAAATAACAGAAGAACAGGCCGAGTGCCTCTTGGCTGCCTCACTGAAGTCTCACGGTGATCTGGTGGACTTGGCACCCACCTGCTCTTGGCGATTCCATACTAATCTGGGGGCTCCGTGAGGGCAATGCTGGGCAAGCCTGGCACCTGGCAGGACCTGGGCCAGGGGGCTCGTCACCCCAGAGATGCCCAGCCCACCTGGCAGTTCGTGTTTCTGCTAGTGGCGTACAAGCACCACCATGCTCTCACCTCATTCTGCTTCCAGGCTGGAGTGTTTCCGGTGTGCAAGTTATACTTTGAACTGCCCACTTTTCAGATTTTCTACTGTAGGCAGTTTGTCTTACCTTTACCTGCTCTGGAAGAGGCCTAGCTCACATGCTGTCACCTTGGCAAGTATTTGGCAAAAGACCTGTCCCCCAAGAGGGAGCTCCTGACTTCCAGTGCGTAAGGGCTGGGTAACATGGCCCTCACTGCTCCCACCACTCAGCTGCGGGCCAGGACCAAAGGAAACTGGGGGTGGGGGTGAGGAGTAGCACACTATTGTTTAGAAGGATCCAGTTCATTCAGATAATTCTTTAAATTCCAAAGCAATAATATTTATAAACAAGCAGGTCATTTGCTTATAATGTTTGCTCAGATTTTAGTTTGTTCTATTTTTATTTTTAGAACCAAAAAGCCTTAACTGAGGGGGAAAAGACTCCATTTTTCTAAATTCTGTTTCTAAGTGTAGATTTTTAAATGTTAACTGAATATTTAGTTAAGAATTTTTTCCTTTCCTTTTTTTTTAAGAAAACCCATGAAATAAAGGTATCACAAAGAACAATGTCAACAGGCTACGAATGCTGTTCAAAGAAAGAGTCCTTAACTAGAATATTCGCATTTGGTTTACCTAATAAAATATTTTTAACAATAAACTCTGTAACATCTTTTCATAACCAAACATCAATCAAATGGCTGAGGAAAAATCAATTTTTGAGTAACAGTTACTATTACAGTTGTAATACCTATTTAGGAGTTCTGGTTTTGCCAAACTATTTTCAAATAAAACCGATATGGACAAAATAGTTTGTTTTCATATAGCTTTAATTTTATAGTCTTTCCACACTCCTTTTTCTCTCACCTGCAGCGTATACCTACTTTTCCTCTATAAAGATCTGTTGGTTAGAGAAGAACCCTACAGTCTTCAGAATTCCATCCTATTTGGTTAATGTGACTGAACAGGCTTATCCTGAGTGTTCCCAGTGTTTTTCTAAATTGAAAAATTAGGTACTCTGCCGCAGTACTCACTTTTCATCATTTGCAAATTTAATTCCACTGCTTGTAATGGGATCGAGGAAGAACCAGTCAAACCCAGGGAAGTAGCGATATATCTGAAGGTGACATGGAAACAATGTGCAGAAGCGTCAATTAAAATACCCATGCGGAGAGCCAAGGTCAAGGGTTTAAACAGGGTGCTGAGTGCCCAGGAGACACCCCTGCTTCTGAGCAAGCTGAACTGCAGCCCCACCAGAGATGTGCTGGGGCGCCCCGGCACCCCTGTGCTCTAATCACAGATTCCCTGCTCAAGAAGCCCCCAGACTGGTTGCAGAAAGGGCTGTCTGCAATTGGGGCTCCCATGCCTCAGAGCAGCAACCAGAATCAGCCTGGACACCAAACTTCCCACAAATATCAGGTCTGCCACTCCCTGGGAAAAATGAGGGTCCATGGGACTTACTTGGAAGAAAAGCAACACCGAAGAAGTTAAGACTACAGAATAGGACTCTTTTGGTGTGCAACAGAGCAATGTGAAGTCAGGCAGTGGGCTGACACAGCTCCCCCAGAAAACATGGCCATCCAGGAAGCAGTAGAATGGAGAAGAAAGTAACAGGACACAGAGGGAGCCCCTCTGGGCCAGGCTCATAAAAAGAGAGTTAAAGGCTCTGATCCAGTCAGTGAGGGCTTGACTCACCCTGGAATCCCCACCTGGGTTTACCCAGGGCATCACCCCAAGATACAACCACGAGAGCCTGGCTGCTGAGCACTGTCTGTGGGGATAGAGTAGGGGCACCCACTAGCTCACTCCTGGGGAAGTAGCCGGGAGAAGAGACCCCAGCCTGTGCTGAACCCCACAGGGCAACGATGCCCAGTGGACAGACCATGCCACAGGGGCAAGGCCTCTTGCGGGTCCTGCCACCCTAGACAACCCAGCTATGGACCCATCCTACCTGGTTGCAAAGTTATAAACTTCCTGGGTAACTGGAGTCAGGCCAGTGCCCAGAACTAAACAAGGATTAATTTTTAATAAAGATCTGTATTCATTGGAATATTTAAATTTTTGTGATTGTTTTATACTTATTTACTGTAGTTATTTTTATATAATTAATAATGAAAATAAGTCAACTTTTAATAAGATCTGTACTTGCCACTGAGAACGGATGGCTCTTAGCTTCTTCGCGGATATTAGTGAATGGAGATTCCAGTATAAGGGCATCTGGAGGCGTCTCTAGACAAGTAAAACAAACAGGGAACTGTGAGATGGGCAAAAGGCCCAGACAAAACACACACTCCATGGCCCCATGGTGGGTCCATCCGAGGGGCAGCCTCCCAAACTAGATAGTAAAATCCACATGACTGACATATGGGAAGAACCCACTCAGGTGGCTCAGGTGGCCTCGGCTTGCTCCTGAGAACCACCTTTGCTGAAGCTGCTTATTTGGGGCCTGGACCTGGATGAGGCTGTGCCAGCTGCTCAAGAATCAATGGGGGAATGCATGCTTAGGTCAACTGAGGGTCTGTCTGCCCAGGTCCTGGCCTCAATGCCCAACTCAAGGAGCTCTGTGAGGACACTGAACACAGTCAATGTGCTACTTGCCCACCAGCGCCCACTTCACAAGAATTCACAGCAGGGCAAGGAACACAGCCAGTGCCCAAACACTCCACTTGCCCTGAAGGAATGCCAGGACCAGGAAGAACCCATGCTCACACACCAGGGTCACATGCCACACAAGCCCCTACCTCGCTCACAGAGGCGCCGTACCAGATTTGTTGCCACTCTGAAAAGAGAAAAAAAAAGTTCAGGTGAATTTTGACAAAAATCGTTTTAGATGACACTGTTCTAACACTAGAAAATAACTAGAGAAGCCGTAGGATCTATGAAGCAATTGGTAGGGTTGTGACAAAGGTCACAACCTATTGGTGGTAGGGGGACAAAGGTGCCCCAAGACCATGGGTGGGCCCACTGCCCCAGCCATCAGCCAACTCCTTCAACAAGGATGGTGATGACAGTCACCCTTAAAGTCCCTGAGGCATGTTCTGCAACCTCACCAGGAACAGCCTCCTTCAGGCTACACAGCACTGCCTCTCAGTTGGAATGGGTGCTGCTGAGACAGAGGGACAATGGGAATCAGGGCTGCCCTATCAGCTGTGTACCTGCACAATTCCTGGAGGTGGCAGTATTTGGAGTCTGCCAGGCCCCGGGGGCCTCTTGTCATCCCAGAACCACACCAGGGGGTCCTGTGCAGAGAGCTATGGCAGGGTGGCCTGCTCCCCTCCATCCAGGGTGCCTCTCCGAGGGCACATGGGCTACTCTCCCCACAAGGGCAGGCCAGGAGGAGGCCTTGTCCCAGACAATGCCCAGTCTGCAGTCCCTGGCCCAACTGCAGCATGCTATCTAAGGTGAGTAGCAACTTGAAAAAGGGGCTGCGGCCACTGCACTTGAAGGAAATGCAGCAGGAAAAGGCAAGGCTGCTGAAGGTCTTGGGGCTCTGGGCACTGACATCATCAGTGGCTCTTTTTAGAAACACTCTGGACCTCACATCAGCAGAAGCGATTCAGGCAGGCCCCAAATGGAACATTAAAGTGCTTCCTGTCTTGGTACTGTTGCTTTCCCCAAGTTTCTGGTAAGCCAAGTACGGGCTATGTGGCCCAGTTGTTAAAAATGCCCCTGGTTTGCAGTGATCAGAGCCCTGGCACTGGGGCTTGTTGGCCAGCACACGCAGTCCAAAACCAGGAGATGTGAAGCCCAGGTGCATCTGGAACTTGAACCCTATCTGGTCTGCTCTGAAGACATCTCCCCAAGGGCACAACCCTGGGCTAAGGAAAGTCTTCCCATCCCTCTTGTGGTGGGGGAGGTCACCCCCACAACTGCCTCTGTGTGTCTCCAGTCACTTTTTGGGTGGAGGAGTTCAAGTTGCTCAAACCCTTTGTGGTCCCTTGTGGTGCCTCATCCCCCGAACCTGCATAGGCGATCAGAGACAAGGCTTGTAATTAATGGTGCCACAGGATCCAGAGGCCACCAGGGCACCCTCAGAGAGCCCATGCTGGAAAGTCACCCAATGAAGAACTGCTTCCCCCAAAGGCCACATCATGCTTGGAACTCTTCTTACCCAGTGCCTAGGGAGTGGCCCCAAATATACACAGGGTTGTCCCCACTTCTTGCTTTGATCCAGTCAAAAACATGGAGTGCATCATAGGTCATGCCCTGTTCCGATGGTGTGCCTATTGAGTCACCCCAACCTGGGGGAGAGAAGCAGAATAGGAGGAAGTCAAGCTTAGTTCATGGAACCTCTTCAGTGGCAGGCCCACACCCCACCCTCCATTTCTCAACAGGTAGACCCAGGCCCTCTGGGGCAATACAAGTCTCTGCCATCACCATCCACAGGTCCAGGCACAGGGTATCCTGACAAGCCTGCTCCTACTTCTCCCACCTCCTCACCCAATTACAACCCCTGAACCCATAGGCCATCACAAGCCTTCCTCCCGAATACTGATGAGCAGCAGTGCAGAAGGGAGTGGTCTTGTCAGGACATCAACTTCTCCAAGACTGGGGGCTTGCTGGTGGCTGGCCCAGGATGAGAGTCTGGCCTGCCCAGGGGCCCCTGAACCTAGTCCAGACACCAAGGCCCAGGTGTGGCCCAGCTACAGACAGGCACAGAAGTCAGGAGGCAAGGCTCTGGGAAAAAGGGTGGGTGGGTGGAATTCAGGCTCTAGGCAACTCTGACCCAGAAAGGGAAGGGACTCCAAGCATCTTGTTTGCATAACAGAGGAAAGCAAAACATCTCTGCTCCCATACTATCCTCCCCAAGGGCCCTTCCACCCCGTCTCCAGGAAAAACCACGTGTCTAGTCATTTCTAGCGGCTCAGCAGTGAGTCATAATCAAGTGATCTGAAAGCATCACAAGGCTCAGAAAGAGCAGGTTCTGCTGTATAAGCAAAAACCCACAGAGTCAGGGGGCACAGCAAGCTATCTCCCCTGGGTGTCCCAGATGCCAGATTATGGAAGAAGAAGTGTGGGAGACAAGGTCAGACTGAGAGGCTCAGGGCAAGAGTGGGAGGCAGGGACACAGGGACAGGAAAGGACGAAGATACAGAGACGAACACAGACAGGGACAGAGAGAAAGGGACTGGGAGAGACACTTAGAGGCAGAAATTTGGTCTCTCATAGTGCTTAGGAATGCAGAGGCTCAATAAAACCTGAAAAGAGGAAGTGCTATACTGGATTTCATTTCTTGATAGAAGTACAAGGAGGTGAACAGGAAAGTTGCCTGCCCCTTCTCATTATCCCGAGGGCTCTAGCATGCAGCAGGAACTGAAAACTTTTTAGCATGGAGAAAAGGATGAATGGGTGAACTACTTTCCAGATCCTCATTTCTGAGTTTTTCCCAACCCAGAACTTTCATCCTGATGGAACAGTCTTCCATGAAAGAACCATTCCTGTGGTAAGCTGAATTGCCCCCAAAGAGGTCCACATCCTTATCTCTGGAACCTGTGGATATTTTAAGTTATGTGGAAGGGGGAATTAGGTTGCAGAAGGAACTGAAGCTGCTAATCAGCTCACCTTGAAATGGAAGAGTATCCTGGCTTATCAGTTTGGACCCAAAGAAATCACAAGGGTCTTTATAAGTGAAAGAGAAAAGACAAAAGTCAGAGTCAGAGTGATGCAGACTCAAGGGGCCAAGAGACAAGGAACAAGGGCATCCTCGAAAAGCTAAAAAAGGCAAGGAACCGGATTCTCCATAGAATCTCCTGCAGAAACCAGCCCTGCGAACACCTTGATTTTAGCCCAGTGGCTAAAGATTTTGGACTTCTGACCTCCAGAACTACAAAATAATAAGTTTGTGTTGTTTTAAGACATTAAGTTTGTGGTAATTTGTTACAGCAGCAAGAGGAAACTAACACAACACCCATATCCTTGGTCTGAGGATATGGACACCCCTGCCCTCCAAGAGGTCAAGGTAAGCTAGCCAAGCGGCGTTCAGCACTTTGCTCTCTCCAGCTGAGGACCATGAAGTGAATATACTTCTCAAACAGCTGCTCACTGTTAATATAAAGCATTTTCCTGGCTCATTGAGGTAGAATGTTCTTTGCTTACATCAAACTGCGGATTCTTGATCTCTTCAGTGTCAAGCACTCTGATTTATTCAAGAAAGAAGAAATACTAAGGGGACAGGAAGAGGATCTTTCTTCTCTCTTAGCAGTTTTTTTTCTTTTTTTCTGAAGTTCAAGACAAGCTCTCTTGAGCATAAAATGTGTCTGGTGTCAGCTGCAGGGAAAGTCCGAGTCCAATAAAGAAAAAAGAATCTTCCACAATTAAAATGTTGCTGACAGAGGGCACATGTTGGATTCCAGGCACTGATGCCTCCCTACAAGAGGGACATCCCTGGCGTCTGCATGCAGGACACTCATCGAAGACCTTGTCCCCCTCCACTATCTTAACACACTTGAAGTTGCCACAGGTCAGGCACCTGCTAGGCGTGTCTGAGCCTCTCAGAATGATGCCTGCACATTAAACATTAACTGGAGGAAGTGGGAGGGCCCAGATATGCACTTTCAAAAGAACCCTTACCTCTGTAGTCAAAGGTGACCACATGGTAACCAAGTGAACTCAGTACCTGTAAAGTGAAAAATAAACATCTAGGTAACAAATCCACACATCTTGGATAGAGGGCATCTTGGCCCTTACTAAACCCATCCTGATTTCTGTCTTTCTGCCCTGCACAAAGGGGGAACTTTAAATAAAGACTTGTCATACTCCCCCATTCCTGACTGGATCTTATGAAACCCAATGCCAACTGCTACCATATATGGTGTTACCCTCCACCTCAGCAATGTGGGCAGGATGCCTCTCCCTCGGCTCAGAGCATCACCTCTGCATTCAGGGGCTCACAGGTGGCCTGCACCCCGCCCCTCCCCGCCCCCCACCCCAGGGCAAACAGCAGGAGCTTTGACCACCCCGCTTACTGCAACTTATCTCAGATTTTAAACTTCCATTGAATTTTTTCTATTAAAAAAAAAATTCCTCTAGTCTAGGTGATCGCTTTCATTAGATCCCTACTTATCACCTCCCTCCTCCACCCCGTCCAGCCCTGGCTGGGGTGTCCCCAGAGCCATGCGGAAGCTGCCAGCCACCATGTCCCCCAAAGTCACTGCCTGGCATGTGCTCCTTGCTCCTTAGGCCACCTCTGGGTAGCCGGCAGCACTACCTTCCAGCTCCCAGCCTCCTGCAGAGCCTGCACCCTCCAGAGTCACACCTGCTCCCAGTGTGAACCGCTGTATGAACAGAAACCTCAAAAGGGAACTACAGCTTTCCAAGCATTCACTTCCCTGACTTGATCTAATCCATGCAAGGAAATGCTCCACAGCCCAGAGCAGTCCACCAGGTGTATGATGGACACAGCAGTGCCCACTCGGTACAGATATTCCCACACATCTGTTTATGTCCCTTTCTACCCTGTAGCACAGGCAGATGCTTGTCTGACAGGATTATGAGGGAGATAAGCGTGCTGGCCTCGGACACTGGCAACAGCTGCACACTTCAGGCTCCTAGACCCAAACACCCAATAAAGAGGACAACCAAACAAAAGGGAAGGTCTGCACACCTGCCTGTGGCCCCATTTACCTGGGGAGACCTGCTGGGCTTCCATTCAGTGGGCCTGGAATCTGATTTAAATCTGACCAGCACCTGCTGTGGAGGTGAGACACTTCTGGTGGCCCAATTCCCGAGCTGCGACTTGGGAGTAAAGGCTAGCTCCCTGACCCCTCTATCCTCTCCATTCCTTTTATATATGAGTAACACAAACACCTTTTATGTAATCAGCCAATGTCTGGCATAAGATCCACAAGGTTCATTCATCCTGATTTTGGAAACTATCCCCGGAGGCAGCATTGTAGGAAGTACTCCATGGTGGAGTCGTCCACAGAGGCAGTGCCAGAAAGACCACCATGATTAATGATCAAAATTATTAGGGGACTCCCTTCTGTTCATGACACCTGGAAAGAACACATAGGAAACAATACTCAGGCAATGTTCCTTCCACTGTAGACTTGTGTGAACACTGCTCCCTCTGTCATACATGATGTAGACACTGCTACGCCCGTCACAGACCATGTGGATATTGTTCTCTACATCATACACTGTGTGCCATCCTCACCCACCTTGTAAAGCTCCACTCGGTGGTCACCTCCTCTAGAATGTCAGAAAGAAGGAAACAAGAATGGGTGTTAGTGCATCTTCTCAAAGAGGCAGGCCCAGGGGCCCTTAGTGACTTGGTCCCCAAATTCATACAGGGGGGTCGATGGTGGATAGGTGATCTCCTCCTTGGGCCAACCTAATTGGCTCTGAGCTTGCCTCTGGCAGTACTGTGCTAAGCAAGGGACAGTCTTAGCACTTTGGGGACATTTGTTAATTATTACCTTACTTTTATTTTTGACTAGGTAATGCATACATACAACACAAAATCCACAGGACATAAGAGGACAAACAGCAAGCCTGCCCACTTCCGCCCCAGCATCCGGCCCCTCCTTCAGCCTCCTGCTTTCCAGGGACCACCTGTAGACAGACGCACAGGCATTTCTTTACTTGCAGTCACACACCCACAGGGACCTGCTACACACACCTTCTGTCTCTCACTCTCCACTCAATAAGTTACAGCTCACTTCCAGTACACTCTTTTTAGCGATGGTCACCGCACTCACTTTGTGGTCATTTGGCCCTTTCCCACGTGCTGCTGACTTAAGTTTTGTTGCTGCGGCCAGCTTGTGATGTCCCTTCACACATGTGTGGGACACGTTCCTATATGTGGAACTGCTCGTCGAAGGTGCAACTGTAATCTTGACAATCACTGCGAAGTCCTTCAGAGGGCCCAATCTTTCACCAAGATTGTATGAGAATGGCCATCTCCCAGCCCCTCACCAACAGACTAGTGTTTTAGTGGGTACTTTTCATTACTGAGGCTGAATAGGCTTTCACACATCTGAACTGTTTCACGTGTCTGTACTTCTTTGTCTGAGGACCATCAATTCTTTCTCACTTTCTGTCCAGTTGTTGGTTTGCTATTACTGTGGAAAGGCACCAAAGTAGGGACGGGGCCACCTTGGAACAGGAAAGCGTATCGCAGGTGAGCTCATCCTCTCCAGATTTCTCAGATGTTTTTCTTTTTTATAATGAGCATTTTGAGCATTTTGGCCATTTCAGGTATGTGTGTGGGGGTGAGGGAGGGAGCATCTTTGGGAGACACAAGGCTGAGATGAAGGAGGAAACCAATATAATGCAGAAACAAAAACACAAATGAGTTTCAAAACCAAAAGGAAATACTGCACAATGTTTTCAGTTATCTTTGGAAAAGTTTGTGGTGGCTCTTAAATTTTCCAAATTCCCTATCTTGAGCAAAAAAGGATCTAGAGTCTAACACAAGGGCAGCAGCAGCCTGGTGAAGGGGGTTGGGGTGGGCGGGGGCTCTGGATCTCAGGGAGCCTCATGAGTCTGGTCAAGGAACAGAGGTGGGCGAGATGTGCAACACAGGCAGTCTTCCGGGCAGTGGGAGGGAGCAGCAAACCTTGCAAAGTAACAATATTCCTTTAAACCTGAAGTTACAGGCAGATTTTGTCTTTTTTTTTTTTACCATGTGATTGGCATTGCTTAACTGACCTTTATTCAAGTAAACCACAACATTCTCTCATTTACAGAAAGATGCTTAAAGAGCTGTTGGTAGCCACTTGGTTTTGAAAAGCAGAAGAGAAACCCTCTGTAGCTTGTTCCAAAGAAGAAAGCAAACAGCCAAGTGCATGCATGATTCAGTAGCTCTATTCACTTGGCTCGGAAACCATCCTCGTAGGCCACACTTTCTGGACTTTCTGCATGTCCTCTGTGCAGTCACTCTGCCCAGACACCCACTGTGGCCTGCTTTCCCCTCCAGAAAGGCCTGTGCATTGTTCTCCTTGCTGGTTCTGCCTATAAAATGACCATCCCCCATCCCATCACCATGGCCAAGGCATCCTGCCTCCTGCCAGTTCCTTGCTGACTCTCTCTCACATGACCTAAGGCACTGCAGCAACAGTGACCCTCCTGGGAGTTTCAGGCAATGCTTTCTTCAGAAAATCCACCTCTTCCTTCACTCCTGCCAGCTATCTCAGAGAGACTCTTCTAAGCAAGGCTGACCATGTGGGGTGGAAGGAGCCACCTTTAAACCAAGGATGGTAGCTCCAATCACAGCTAGTCTGAAGGACATGCCATCAAAGCCACTCCTGAAAAACACCTGGAATAAATGTGGGCAAGGGCTTTACCTGCCATAGACAATTGTGCTTCATCACCAGCCCAGCAGGATGCACTGGCACTGCTGGGATACAGCTGGAAGGAGAGAACTAAAGCAAGTCGCCCTGACCTGACAGCATAGTGGGGCCACCTCAGAGTATGAGCCTGTCCATGTACACGCAGATGGGGTCTCTTTGCTGGCCTCCCTCTGCCTTTGGTCTTCCCTCCTCGCTACCTCTTCTCAGCACTTGCTGCCCTTTCCAGGAACTGTTCCTCCTCCTCCGGCAGGGGATACCTGCCAGAAAGGAAGTGCCAACCTGCCTGCAATCTTCAGATCTTGCTGCTATTGAACAAGAGACAACTTTCCTCAGGGCACGCTATGGCCCTGAAATGTCACAAGCACCCCTCCTCTGAGGGACCACCACTTCCTTACCCACAGAGAAACCTTGTTTCCTAAATCAGGGGCCCTTAGAAGGCACTTTGCCCTTTAAGTCGGGAAGAGGGACACACCCTTCTCTGGCAGAGGATCTTAGTCTCTCTCACAGAGATGCAGCCTCCTCCATTCCACCCAGTGTGAGCTTCAGGTAAGGGGTTTCTGGACAGAGCTTCCCCCATCTGCCTAACAGGGGGTTCCCAAGGAAACAGGGCCTGGGCCCACTTTGCACACAGCATTGCCTTGCTCTGTGCCTGTGGGAATACTGCTTCATGTAAATTTCACCTAAACCCCCCTGTTTCTCTGTTTGCCCATGTGCCTAGTCCCTCACTGCGGTGAGTCAGTAAGCCTGACTGGACCAGGGCACTCCTGCCCACAAAGGAGCCAGCACTACATGCAGGACACACCCGTGGGCTCCTCTTCCTCACCTGGTGCCTGCATTACCGTGCAGGTACAGAATGATAGGGTAACTGGAAGCCAAGGCATCCTCATACCACATCTGGTCTTTCCCTTGGGCAGTCTTCCACCAGAGAGCAGGGACAGTGTGCCTGGAAACAGAGCAGAGGGAATGGCACAATCAGATGATGCTAACTGTCAAAGGAATGGCTGTGGAGCTCAAGCCACAACTGAGCACAGAGCAGGAGAACAGGTGGGCTGGACAAGCCAACTGTCCCTGTTACCAGAGTATAATAACTACGGAACTCTAAGCTACAGGGATGGCTTCTGACAGCCTAAGTAGGGGGTTTCCTGTCTTGCTAATGGGCCTTCACTGGGCCACAGAGATTCACACTGGTAGCAGTTATCAGAAAGGGGGTGCGGGGATGCTGTTTCTCCCAGAGGAACCAGAAGCTCTGTGAGGGAGGATCCCACCTGGATCAGTCACCAGGCCTTCATCTGGGACTAGCACAGAATGAACACTTTAATACTAGCTAAGCAAGAGCATTTCCCTCAGTATCCATGTTTTTAAACTATACAGTTTAACTCAGTGTGCTTAAAGATAGTATCATGCTGTCATATGTGCTAATTCAGCAACAATAACCTTTGTGAGCCGTACTGGAAGCCTGGCCATCCTTAAAGCACCATTTCTGACATACAGCACATTTCCGAGCCTGCTTGCGAGCTATCTAGGAGCAGACCCGTCTTCAGGAAGAGGTGCTGCAGGCCACCTCGCTGCGTGGGTGTGCTCACAGTCACCCAGCTCATTTCACACTTGGCCAGGCCTTTGGAGCCTCAGTCTATCTGGTCAAACCCTCCTTCAAAGAGATGCTCTAGTTAATCTTAACTCAGTCCACATCAAATACTGTTAACCACTTGGGAGGGAATTAATAAGGTTTTTCTGTAAAATTTATTTAAATTAGCAAGAATCCTTTAAAATACTGTAGTAAATGGCCAATTTCTTGTTTTCTAGCACTTAAGTTTCAGCACCTTATTTCTAATGAATATCTTTGACTCATTCCAGAGGATTATATTTTGGGTGGTTTTGACCACTGTAATTTTTATTTTTAAAAAATTTTAAAAAACATTTTATTGGGGAATTGGGGGAGGGGACCAACCAAGTTGTTGTTCTTCAGTCTTCGTATAGAGGGCGCCAGTCGCCATCTGGCTGCCCGTCGGTAGCTTGTGGCCTCTAAGTTCAAGGTTCTGTGTTCAGTCTTAGTTGTGGGTGGGCGTAGCCACCATCCCATGCGGGAGTCAAACCTGGCAGCCTTGTTAAGAGCACATGCTCAATCAACTGAGCCATCCAGCGGGCAGCGCATTTCAAGGTGCCAAGTTGTCTTAGTTGTGGGTGGGCATAGCCCACCATTGAACAGGCAGTCTTGTTGTTACACCAGCTGAGCCATCCTGCCACATGTTGGCAGCTCTGCAACAGCTCAGCTCGGGTGCAGCGTCACTGGCCCATGTGGGAGTCAAACCGGCTGCCCTGTTGCTCAGAGCTTGTGCTCTTAAGCCAGCTCTTAACCAACTGAGCCACTTGGCCGGCCCCTGTCCACTGTAATTTTTACTCTCCTACAATTATAAACCTATGGGACTGAAAGGTGTATTTTGAAGGTGCTGGGGGGCTGATGTGCTTCCAGTAGCCAGGTTACCCCAAACTTGGAGCTCTTGACAAAGGCCCAGGAAGCTCCCAGCCAGAGGGGTGGGAACCTATTCCTGGGGCTCTCCTCCCCCATGCCAGGTGGACAACTATGCCCACAGACAGACAGCTGAGAATGAGCTGACAGCCAAGTATATCCTCAGCTTTTCTCTAAGCCTTTGCTGGTAGGAGGATCTAACAAGGTGCTGGGTAGGGACAGCTGGTGAACCAAGGGCCCACACCGTCCTCACAACAGCACAGGACACAGATGTGGGCAAGCATAAGGCACCCACCAGCACACAACATGGCTGTCACTACCTCGAGACTCACCATTGTTGTCGCTAAATACAACTTCCATCAATAATTCCTGTGACAGCTTTCAGCCTAAGTGTCAGCATAACAAACACCCCTCTGCAATATGAGGTCCTGACAAAACTCCCATGTCTTCAAAGCGCAGACCCCATTAACCAGCAGGAGGGTCAACCAATTCCCAACAAACAGCTCTGAGCAAAACATGTCAAACTTCTGAATGAAGATGGAAAAGCAAAGCATCCAACATGCACACAGTGGTCAATAAATGTTAGATTAAATCCAACTAGAAACAAGACTCTAGAATCCCAGCATCAACTCCTAAAAACAACAATCTCCCTTCTCATTTTGTTCTTTCCCCAGGACCGTTATTAGAAATGCCTGAACTACCTTGCAATCCACACTGGGAAGCTATTCATAGCATTTCATTTAGAAGCTTCTCACATACACAGTGGTTTTCTGAGACAGCAGAGAGAGACTTCATGACTACTGAAAAAGAATCTCAGCTAGATTAAAGGGGCAGTGATTCTGAGAGAAAAATGAAACCACCACAACAAGGTTGGTCAATTTTGATTTAGTTGTTCAAAAACACTCACTTGTCCATAAGAAAAAACCCATTAAAATATATTCTAAGGACAAAAAAGTCACAAAGCTTAAGTCCAATTCAAATTTATGGTTACAAAAAGTAAATACTAAGAAGATATCAAACACCACCATTATCAACTGCCAAAAGTGCTCTATGTGAAAAGAAATAAAGCCGTTTTCAATATCTAGACATTCCTTTTTCTTACTTTTTAAAATTTTTATTATTTTTTATTTTATCGGGGAATTGGAGAAGGGGAACAGTGCTGGGAATTGGGGAAGGGGAATAACCAAGTTGTTGTCCTTCAATCTTAGTTGTGGAGGGTGCAGCTAGCTCAGCTCCAAGTCTAGTCACCATCCAGCCAACCGTCAGAAGCTTACGGTCACTCAGTTCAAGGTGCCATGTTCAATCTTAGTTGCAGGGGGGCGTAGTCCACCATCCCATGTGGGAGTCAAACTGGCAACCTTGTTGTTAGGAACACGTGCTCTCACCAGCTGAGCCATCCTGCCACCTATTGGCAGCTCAGCTCAGGTATAACTCACTGGCCCATGTGGGAATCAAACCGGCGACCCTTGTTGCTCAGAGCTCGTGCTCTTAACCAACTGAGCCACTTGGCAGGCCCCTAGACATTCTATTTTCCGAAAATAAATGGTATATCTCAAACCTGTACTCACAATTCTGTGCTTATATTTTCTTTGTTTCTAGCTTTTTCTTTCCCCCTGGAAATAAGGCCCTTTACAAAAAACAATCTGGTTCACAAAGCTCTTTGAAAACCTCAGAATAGTTTGGTGTTATCGCATTGTGCTCCATTAGGATCAAATTTAGCAGAGCTCTTTGCTTTGGAAATAAAGTGGGTGAAGATAAAAATGGACAGGCAACTGTTTCAGAGACTGCTGTCAAGGACAACACTTGCCACATGGCGCAGGGCCCCTCCTGCCTTCTGGAGACTCCACAGAGCAGGTACCTCAGCCCTGTAGCCACTTGGCTGGACACTCACCAGACTCCAATGGTCACTTCTTCCTCTGGCTGGAGGTAGTAATTACAGGTGTGATTCAAACCTTGATCCTGTGGTTTTTTCAAGTCAATGAAATAGGGAACCCTCACTGTGGAAGACAAAGAGATGGAAACCAGGATTAATGGAGCAGATGAAAACAAACATGCACTCATGCACGCATGCACACAGCAGAGGCGAAGCTCTCAAAAAGTACCAAGTCTTTTCCAACACGATACTGCCGGGAGCACTGGGCCCCCTAGCCTCAGGTGGGGTTGTAGGCAAGCCTGCTCTGGGACACTGTGAGAGCATCTACACAACCTCCAGCAAGAGTGAGGTCTAAGTAGAGATGGACCCACTGAAAGTTGTTCAAGGTGTGAGAAGATACAAATGAGGAAAGAAAAAAAACCCTGAAAGGCCTGGAGGTAGCTGGCCATGAGAGAGGCTGGAGACAAGGAGGCCTGTGAGGCTTCCAGAAGCAGCTCAGGTGAGCTGCGACTGAAGGCTGAAGCCTGGGGTGAGAGGAAGGGGTGGTGTGAAAGGTGACAAGACGACGGATAGTGTGTTCTGGAGCTGAGCCACGGGACTCAACAACCACCTGAATGTGGGTGCGAGCCAGTTAAATGGGATTCTGAAGATTCTAGTGCTGTCACTTAATGCAGGAAGGATGGCAGAAGACGAGGTGTGGGTGCAAAGGAGCGGGTGATCCACAGAACCCATCCAGAGTTGAGTGCAGTCAAGTGGAGCAATACAGCAGGAGCCCTCAGTGTAACAAGCGATCTGCCACTAGGGCAGAGTTCTGTGGTGCACCCATCCTCTGGAAATTCCTGGGGCCATTAGACAGAGACTGACCACAGGATTACAGGTAGGTGAGAAGAGCAGGGAAGAAGCAAGAAGATCACAGTGTGTGCTGCATAAGCTCATACTGTTATTGTAAAACACGCAAA